TGCCAGTTACCATACAAATTGTCCATGTCAAGCTTTGTATCAAGTTTCATACGGTATAATGTGGCAAAACAATCGTCTACATGAGCCCTTCTAATATTAGAGTCTTAAAAAACTATCGAAAAAATAAATTAAATTCGATGAAACTTTTTATCTCTGTTTTACGTATAAATAGATGGTAATCTTGAGACAAGTTTGTGATGCGCAGGCAGTAACTACTTTAGTGATGTTAAGTGCTATCTTCCTCCAAATGCTGCTTTAACATATTTGTTCCACCCCAGCGTCGGCGGGAAAACTAATACGTAGTGCATAGACCATATTTTGAGACATAAGGGATCCTTCATAAGGACATTACTTATATTTCACAGTAATTAGGCTTAGCCCCCTCCAGCACTGACATGGCTGCACTTCCAAATTACAACATGGAGGAAACGTCGCCTGCTGATGGGCAAACTCCCAGCTACTCTGCTAAAGGTGGATCTTAATTAATTTAGTCTTCGAGATCTTGCCAGTAATGGTGGCGTTCGTGCTGCAGATTAACCGACATAATTGGAACTAATTGCGTTCTTTATGACGCTGTTTATAGGTTATGGGAAAGGAAGAGGGACTTCTGAAGTCGACGGGTAATTTCTTTAGAAGGAGGTCTGGCCCTTTAAGGGAAGGATGAGATTTCAAGGGGTTGAATATGTTCTGACACTCCCAATAGCGCACAAAATTTAATAAGGGGGTGCGTTTATAATATACTACAGTGACAAACGTTTTGGGCAATTTGTAAAAAGGCTAATGTACCTGTTCATAAAATTAAAGAGCGTAGTTTCTGTTTTGATAATTGCCATTATCGGTCCAGTCTGTCAGTGACCTTGTTGTCTATTAGCGATTGCCAAATAAGTGGCATGGCAGGGTTGGTACGACCTCAAGTGACAGTTAAGGGGGTCTTAATACTTTTGCGGATTTTGAACCTGAGGTCCGTAGAACTAGAGAAAGCTTCACATTCCCAGGACTCTAGGAAGGGAGGAAGGTTCCTAGCTGCTAAAGAAGTTCTGCGTCAAAATTTTCCAGAACACATATACTTTAGACTTTTAACATTTCTCGTGTTGTTTTAGTACTTGATAGTCCTTTAAAGGCTCAAAATCTGCATTTTGGCATGTTTGGTCAAAATTCAATAACATTTAATATTCAACTCACTATTTTTATATGAGCGCATGATCGCAACACTTCCTATTTCAAATCTATAATAAAACATACTGAGACTGACGACATTTATACAAATGGAAGTATATTAGTTGCGTATTCATATCCTTCAACTTTTATACCATACGCTCATACGAACGCAGCAGGTTAAGTGTATAGGTTAAGTGTAAAAAAGGCGAATTTTGGACTTAATTTCTAAATTTGAGCTTTTCAAAAAGAACTAAAATATTGACAGAAGTTTAAAATACATATAAGAATAAGTTTATTCTCGTATCGCACAAACATAGAAACTAAAACTAACATATATCTAAATAAACTGCAATACCGATCTTTAACGTTGTATATTTATACAGGGTATCCAAATAGTAGGTTGAAGCTTCGCTCCTATTAGAGCTTCAGGAAAAAGTTAAATACAAAAGTTGTAGGCAGAAATAAGGGCTGCAACCTAAAAATTTTTTTTAGCTATACCAATGAGGTAGTGGCAATATAAACTTGTATTTTCTTAGATGAGACACACTGTATTTCGATTGATTTCTAGAAGCACCACTTCTTGGCCATTCTGCCAATGTATGGTTTCGGGGCATTTCGGAATATATGGCCACCTTTTCGCTAAAATTATTATACATTTGACTTCCCGTATCTTAAACAACGTTTAGATAAAATCTGTTTTTTTATACTAAGAGGTGGAAACAGTGGTTGACATTCATATCCAACGTTTTTTACCATACATATTTCGTCGAGACATACATGGTGAATTAAAACAGAAAGATGTAATTTTCTCGAAAATTTTAAATCAAAGACCCTGTATGTTATAACTCTATTCAACGCGCCTCGTAGTGGTCCTACAGTTTTATCAAGCATTGCCTATACCCAAATCTAGTATTCTCTGAAGTATTCCATGTTTTATAAGTGAAAACCATAAGTTTGGAATTATTAGAATAATATCCGTCACTCATGCAATTAATAAAATAAAACATTTTGTTAATCAAAATATGTCTCTGAGTGGTTAAAAACAAGTAATTAAACACTTACAACGGCTACTATAATAGAAAACATTATACTTAACTGTGCTAAAGAACCTTAATAATTAAAAATAGCAACAACTCTGTATCCATTATGATAATGATAACTAAATAAATATATTTATCTACCTAATTAATCGTTCAAAGTGCGTACCACCAGAATCAATACAATCCTGCAACCGACGTTTAAATGATTCAGCAACTTTTGTTGGCTAATGCTCTGAAAAGCTTCCCGTATCCTGTCTTCCATATTAGCTCTTGTCGTAGGTAGAGTCTTATAGACCTCTGAGGGAATTCAGTATCTGAATAATTATTTATTCTTGACGAACATCACCAAAAACTTCCAGGAAGTTAAAATAACTGAATTGTGGCCAGAAGAAAAAATTTAAAGTTATATAATCTAAACCTGAGATCGTGTATTATGCTAATGTTTCAGAAGCACACCAGAATCGTGATGACCCTGTAGTTGATTGGATCATCATCTGATCTTGTTTCTGGGACAGATGGGGATAGACAAGCATCGTCCGTCCTCTGGGACAATGGCAGGCTAGTTATATGAAAGAGACGCGAAAGGAGTGTAGCAAGCTTCTGTGCACGATTATTCACAGAATAACTTTGTGTCAACAGTACAAAGCTACCATTTGAATTGTACTTGTCTGCCAAATAGTGAAATTTTCCTTCAGATTTCATTTTTGTCAAGGATAGCATATGTCTACATTCACCTCTACTGTTTATATATGAAAGTTCCTGGAAGCAAACAGTGAAAACAAAAATAAGTCACACAACAGCAACCTATAGTTTGGCAATTTTCCTTGTTACAAATATTATTTACCGGACGTTGCATTTCCACAACTCTCCGTAAACAAGTTGCTAGGGAAGTTTGTTTCTAGTTTACAGCTCGGTACAATTATCCAGGAACGCGGATAAAGTTTGGAATTTTACGGTAGAGAAGATATAAGAGCATCAGTTTAATATCTTGTTTTCGCAGGTGGATTACTCTTAGGGCAACTGTGGAAGCTAGAAGAAAAGGCATAAGTAGTTTGACGAGACTTTTCGATAACTCGAACCAAAGGGTTTAAAGTTTTACAAAAAGGCATACTACCCAATAGGATCTTTCTATAGTATAACTCGCTGTTGTTTAGATGTTAAGATTTAAGAGTTTGTTACTAAGACCGAAGAGTTTTGTAGTTTCAACGGAGTATAGTTTGATTATTACATTTACATTATTACAGTGGCAGCGACACCCTGGGTTAATTAATGTAGATAATGATACGGGTTAGTAAAGTGTCGCTCGTTAAGGAAATACGGGATATTGAAGTTTAATTTTGAGAATACTTTTTTCTTGATAACTCAAACTATTCATGTGAGATTTTGAAAATCAGGTGGTTCCGAAGTTAAGAAATACGTTTGTATTGTACTGTATGGTACTGGCTCATGGTTGACTGGCGTGGTTCAGGAATATTACTGAATGGTCGATACTGTCGGCAAGGTAGTTGAGAAATTTCTAGATCACGGTATTATCGAATGAATGGGGAATATGATCGTATGGATTTATCCGACTGACTTGTTTTATTGAATTTGTCATATATGCTGGTAGCCAACTGTTTGCTTTGAGAGGGTAACTTATGCCGAACAACATTTTTTATGAACTAATGACAGCATTGCATGGAAAGATGCAGAGTCACCCTTCTCGACACCATTTTTAACATAATATGTAGAGGAGGAGCTGGTTACAACCTATAATCTCGATATCTCAGGCCATATATGTATGTATACAGGGTGACTTTGAAGTTGAGTCATTAATTTTCAGATAATGATTGTAGAAGGAAGATAAACCAAAATATGTGTGTAAAAATAAAAAAAAAATTAAAAAAAACGTTTTACCTTGTTTTATAAAGTATCCTCCCGACAAGTATTTCAGTGCGGACCTGTATTTGATCGTGAGGTCCCCTGTGAGGTCTTAAGTCACCTGATTCACGAGCCCGTTGTACTACATTAACAAAGGCACGAGGGGTTGGTTGCACTCTATTGGGAAACCGATCCGCATAAACATGTGCTATTTTTTATTTCGTTTGAGCCACGCAACAGATACCACTATTCACTGATACTGACTGTATACAAATGAATGAAATAATTGTAAAAAGCATCGTTCCAAATTCTTTCGCTTTTTTGTTTCCGATGCGATGAACCGATACGGCGGATTATATCCGTTGTCGCCAAACACAACCACATAATATTATTATTGAGACAGGGCGGTACTCAAACTTCCAAAGGGCTATAACTTTGTTACTTTAATTTTAACAGGAAAATGGTAAAGGAAAAAAACATTTCTTTTGATCAGATCTACTCACTGTTAAAATAAATGACTCAACTTCGATGTCACCCTGTATATGAGCTCCACGAACAATAGACGTGTGTAAAAAGTACGTTATTACTTCAGTAAAAAATCTGATTTTTGAAAAAAATCACAATAGTGCTGTGAGAAGTATGTTGGCAGTGAAATATTGGTTGTGCACATATTTTTCATTTGTGGTTAATTGCAGTAAGTAGGATACATTTCTCTTACAAAAAAGTGCACACAGCAACAAAAAGTTTGCTTACAAAAAGTGCCAGTTACAAAAGATAACCATCAGAATAACTAGCTGGTATTATAGTCTAGTTATCCAGGATCATATCTCACAAATATCTCTTTGTATCAAATTTTCACACTTTGATTTAATCATCCTACAATTTTAAAAAGAAAACATCATAATAACCATCCCAAAACAGAATCCTTAATTATAAACAAGGATGGAGGGCAATGAACCTGAAGCCGAGGTATGTATCAAATGTAAAACAGAATTTCATGGAGACTATGGTTACCTTAAATGTGATTAATGTTTTTGGAGCGTTCATAAAGATTGTGTCAATTTAACATCTTCGGAAGTGCGATGTATGCTACTACAGAAGAGGGTTCTTTTGTTGATTTGTGATGAATGCAAGCAATTAATAGCAAGAATGCCCTATATGGTGAAAATGATGGAGGAAATCAAAAGAGAATTAGCAGATTTGAAAGCAAACTACAGAAAAGACATGCAAATGTGTTAAAAAAACAACATCCGCGCAGGATTCCATCAATAAGCCTAGTCTGCCTACCATAATAATTAGGCCTAAAAGCCAACAAAATATAGGCAAGAATAAAGAGGAGGTGCAAAGGTTGATAAATCCATGCGAAATCAATGTTGGAATTAGAAATATTAAGGAAACTAAGAAAGGAAATATTGTACTAAAGTGCGACACAGAACAGGAGCTAGAAAGACTCAAGAAATCAGCAGAAAGTAAACTAAAAGGTAAATATGAAGTTAATTGACCGCAAAAGATGTTACCGAAAATTAAAATTGTAGGATATGTGGGTAATAAGGAGATAGAGGAGCTTGAAGAAAGTATAAGGAAGCAGAATACATGGATGCAGTTGAACGGACACTTTAAGATACATTATATTAGAAGACATAAAAATAAAGATACCTCCACAATTTATGCGGAATATGCAGGAAACTTATATTCTAAAATAATGAAAAATGAAAAAATTTACATAGACTGGGAGCGTCTGCCGGTGTATGAGGATCTGACTGTATCTAGGTGTTTCAAGTGTCAGGGCTTTCAACACAAAAGTAACCGGTGTCTTAGAAAGCAAGTCTGTGGAAACTGTGCAGGGTGTCACAATACCTCAGAATGTGAAAGTCAGGAGAGGACGTGTGTGAACTGTGACACGGCCAATAAGCTGTATAAAACTAAGTACACAACAGATCATAGTGCATTAAGTGCAAACTGTCCTTGTTTAAAATACCAAATTGGAATCTTGAAGTCCAGAACTGACTATAGTAAATAAGCATAATGGTAAATCACATAAATGAGGAAATTCTAGATATAATTAATGAAGACGATGGTTCTTTGAGTGAAATAATGGACAGTGAACAGATAAAAACCTTCTTGTCACATAATGCACGTTCATTGGCTGTAACTGTGATTCATGTTAATATAAGAAGTATCAACAGAAATTTTGATAATTTTCTGGCTTATATAGAGTCATATAAGCTAAATAGCTTTGACGTTATTGTTTTCACGGAAACCTTTCAAATTGTGTCTATTAAGAACTGTAATTTACCTGGCTACCAAACTTTTTATAATGAAGGTAATTACAATAAAAATGATGGGGTTATTGTTTTTGTTAGGGATGGTATTAGGGCGAATTTCTCCAAGTGCCAATTAAGTATATCAAGGGCTAGTTTAGGTAGACTCACATTTGAAAGGGATGGGGTTTTGTATGGCATAACGTGCGTTTACAGACCACCTCCAATATCAAAGAAAGACTTCACTCATGATTTGCACACTTATTTGGAGCATAATAGTTCTGCTAATATTGAAATATTTCTGGGGGATATTAATATAAATATTCTGGATAATAAGGACACTCTGGTGACAGAGTATCTGTCAATGATGTCTTCTCTTGGCTTCAACGCATTTATCAATAAACCTACTAGACTGTCTTCGGGAACTTGCCTGGACCATATATTTGTTAGGCAAAAATTAAAAACCAATTGTTTATTATTAAATTCTTATATACTCAATGAGGAAATAACGGATCACAGTACAACAGTGCTTTGTATAACTAATAAAGCACGACCTTCTGGAATTTTGGAGGTTGGGCAAGTTGTAACACGAAACAAACTAAACATAAATAAATTTAAGAAGTTTTTGAATGATTGTGATTGGAATTTGGTAACTAGTGTGAATGATCCAGAAATAGCTGTAAAGTTATTTTTGACTACCTACAGGGACTTGCTGTTGAAATCAACAGAAACAATTGCCACAAGAGTATCAATTCCAAAAAAATAAAACCATGGATAAGCAATGGAATTATTGTTTCTTTGAAAAAAAGGGATAAAATGAAAAAGAGACGTCTAGCAAATTATGGTTTGTCTTTGGAAAATCAGTACAAGGATTATCGTAATAAACTAAATAAATTAATACACAAACAAAAGAATAATTACCATAGAATGCAAATTGAAACAAATAAAAATAACATGAAAAAACTGTATGACGTCATAAAGGATGCAACGTACGAAAAGAGCTACAAAGGTCAATCTTATATATCTATAAATGATAATGATGGCAACCAGTTTACTGATTCTATTGAAATTGTAAATTTTTGTATATGAATATTTTATGGATGTGGGTGTTAACATGACGCGGACAATTCCCACTCCTCAATCTAAGTGTAAATTAGCGCACCCCGTCAAGAATTCTATTTTCTTAAGTCCCATTACAAGGAATGAACTAATAAAACATATCGCATCTTTGAAAAGTAATGGTGCTCCTGGCTATGATGGCATACAGGTTGAAACTATAAAGCAAACTCATTTTGAAATTTTAACACCTTTGTTACATATTTACAATTAATTTTGGTAACTGGAATTGTCCCAAAAGAGTTTAAAACGTCAATAATTATCTCGATGTATAAATCAGGGGATACTACATCCATTGGAAATTACAGGCCTATAAGTTTAATAACAAATTTTCCAAAGTTATTTGAAAAATGTCTTAAAACTCGATTAATGGATTTTTTTAAAGATCAGATCAGATAATCAATTCGGGTTTGTCAATAATCTGAATAATGGCAACAAGAGTATTGCTGTTTTTTTGGACCTTGCCAAGGCTTTCGACACGGTTCCTCATGATAAGCTAATCGAAATTCTTCACAAGCAATGGTATAAGGGGAGTGGCTTATGATTTACTGAGGGAATATCTTTCAAACAGACCACAACTGCTAAAACTGAATAACATAACAAGCAATGAAAAAATAATAAAGATTGGTGTCCCGCAGGGTACTATTTTGGGACCGCTCCTTTTTATAATTTATATCAATAAGATGCTAAAGCTGGACACGAGGGGTTTAACTATTTCTTATGCTGATGATACTGTACTTCTCTTTGCAGGTTCTAGTTGGGAGGATGTAAAGTGTAAAACAGTGTATGGTCTAGGTATCGTAAAAGACAAGAGAGTAAACTAACATTGAATTTATCTAAGACAAACTATATTGCGTTTTCGTTGACCAATAAAAACAGACCAAATTACAGCACTATTATGTTGGATGATAATTATTCTGTTCAGGAAGTGTCTCAAACTAAATACTATCATTATTGACCAACATTTAAAGCGGCAGCCGCATGTTGATTATGTATCGAGTAGAGTTAGAAAATTAATCCATAAATTTTATCTACTGCGTGACTTTTTTTTATATCGAAACAGCCGCGCAGCCAGAAGCCTAAATACCGGAACACCGCGGCTGCTATGATGATCCCAAAGAAATTTTGTTAATACGATTTTTTAACTTCCTAAGGTTAGTAGAACTGGGAAAAGCTTCCTCTCGTAGATTGTTCCACAATCTAGACACCCTCGGGACAAAGGAGCGGTCGTATCGGCCAGTTCTGGGTGTACGAAGTTTGATACGGTTAGGATGGGACGCCGAAGTCAGGCGGGTCTGTCTGGCAGGCACATCGCGCGGCGGCATCATGGAAGAGAGCTCTGAGGAGCAAAGCCCGTTGGTGTAGCGATAGAAAAGAGCCAGATCGCCGACGACCCGCCGGTGCGAAAGAGTCCCGAGACTGTCTGTTAGAGAAGAGTCATCGATCAGTCGGACCGCCCTCCTCTGGACAGCATCGAGCATGGACAATGTAGTCGGGGCGGCAGCACCCCAAATGTGTGAGCAATACTCGAGGCTAGGCCTTATCTGGGCCTTGTATAGAGTGAGAAGGTCATGCGGAGAAAAGCCCTAAACAAATAGCCTGGCTTTTTCCCAGCAGCTGCAGCTATTGAAGAGATGTGTTCGTGCCAGATCAGATCCTCGGTGATCTGGACTCCGACCAGCCGAAATGAATGGCTCTTTGGTAGAACTCGGCCGTCCATCGAAACTGTATGAGCGATAGGGCGCTTTTTGTTCGTCAAAGTACAGTACTGTGTTTTGGAAGCATTGAACTCTACAAGATTGTTGCGTCCCCAAGCAGTGATAGCCTCCAGGTCTCTTGTCAGAGAAGAACTCGTCGCTAGTCTTCTTTTTTCCAGCTCAGCGGCAGATATCGGCTTGTCACTCTGAATTCCTGCATGTAGAGTGCTGTCATCAGCAAAGCTGTGGATTGGGTTGATCGTGCAGGAAAGGAGGTCGTTGATATGTAAGAGAAACAGTGTTGGAGCCAAGACCGATCCCTGGGGAACACCCGCGTTGACGTTGTGGGATGAAGAGGAGAATCCGTCAATTACGACGGATATCTTGCGGCCAGAGATAAAGTCAGCCACCCATCTGCAAAGCTTTTCTGGGAGGCCATAGGATGGAAATTTGCTTAAGAGGGCAGCGTGCCACAGCTGATCGAACGCTTTCGTGATTTCAAGAGCAACGACATGAGCCTCACCATGAGACTGGATGAGTTTACTCCACAGTTGCGTGACGTAAGCTAGGAGGTCCCCTGTGGATCGTTGGTGCCGGAAACCGTACTGCCTGTCGCTAATCAAGCTGTGACGTTCGAGGTAGTCCAGAAGCTCGCAATTTATGCACCTCTCCATCACTTTACCTATAACAGAAAGCAGAGCTATAGGCCTGTAGTTGTAAGGGTCGGTCTTAGATCCTTGTTTTGGGATGGGCTGTACATGAGCAAATTTCCAGTTTTCTGGGAAGGTGCCGGATTCATAAGATATCTGGAAGAGACGCGAAAGAACTGGAGCAAGCTCCGCTGCACATCTCTTCAGTACAATGGCAGGAATCAAGTCCGGACCAGAGGCTTTGTTGATGTCGAGCGACAAGAGCACTCGTCTTACGGTCTTATGCCTGAATGTTACCTCCCGCATAGCGTGGGGAACCCTTTGAATTGACGGCACTTGGGCGTTGGCGGGGACGTCCATGGTGGAGTTGGCAGCAAAGATCTTGGCTAGCACTTCCGCCTTGGCCTTTGAGTCGAATAGAATAGTTCCATCCTGACACGTAAGTGGTGGAAGGCTACTGTGTGAGAAGTTCTTTTCAATCTGCTTGGCCAGCGTCCAGAAAGACCGACTGCCATTGCGCTGCGACATTACCCTGTGCCTAACTTTTATATCATGCTGGTTTTTGGCATTGCGAACCGCATCGTTATATTTGTTTCTGGACTCGACGTCGGCTTGTCTGTTCTCTACAGTGGGGTTCTGTGTGCCTTGATCTTCTGCTGGCGAGCAGTGTCACACGATTTGTTGAACCAGCCGTTGGACCTTGGTTTAGGAACTTTCACTGTATGAGGGATGTATTCCTCCATTCCGACGTGGATAATTTCGGTTATTGAAGAACAGACAGTCGGCGCATCCGCGTCAGTGAAACAGACATCTCTCCAAGGAAAGCTAGAGAAGAAGTCTCTGAGCCCCTCCCAGTCGGCATGTCCGTAATGCCAAGTTTTGCGGCCTGTGCGAGTTTCTGCTGCCACAGCGGCTTCTGACCGAAACCTAACCTCCACAACACTCGATAAAAAAAATTAATAACAGTTTATAAAGCATTTATTGAACCTATAATTAGATATGGGATATTTGTATGGGGGGGATTGTATAATAATGCTCTACATAAACTCATTATTATTCAGAAATATATTATTAAAATTATTTTTAAGAAAGATAAAAGATTCTCCACTAATAAACTTTTTACAAAGGATGTGTGTAATATTAGATCCTTGTACGTGATGACAGTATC